AAAATTTTTTTTGCACACTTCATTTTTTATATGACACAGTTTTTACATTTTTTTTTAACACTATTTATTTGTTTGTATTTTTTACACTCTTTACTTTTACATTAAATATACATTAAAGTTCTTGCACTCAACATTTTTTTATTTTACATTACACATATTTAATCTTTTTCTCCCACTATGTTTCTTTATATGACATAGTTTTTGCTTTTTTTGCTTTTTTTAAAAAACACATTTGCTTTTTCTTTTTACATTTTTAGCACTCCATACATTTTACATTATAAATATATATATATATAATTTAAACATGCACACAACTTTTTTTTTTTTTTACATCACATATATTTAATATTTTTTTCACACTGTATTTTTCACTTTACATGTTTTTTTGGTTTTTCTTTTTACACTGTTTATTCCCTCCGTATGCCTCCAGTACGTGCTCCGTACAGCGTTTATGAGTTGAGTGTTGAGATCTGGATTCTCGGCTGTTTGTAGCTTGTAGTTTGTCACCTACAGGCTCATTAGTCTCTGTATCTGCTGCTGTTTTTCGAAGTTGACCGAACGCAGAACGTCGTTGCAGCAACATGAAGGACTCTGGAGGCAAAGCGGTGAACTCTGGCTCCAGAGATGAAGCTTCTTAGTCTGTTGAGGCTGCATGAGGCTTTCAACAACAGCGTCTCAGTCTGGTTCCAGTCGGCTGTTGGATTTCCATCTGGAGTTGTTTCTATAAATCGTGCTGCAGGTTCACGCCTTAATCTCAGTTTTTTAAGTGAAGCTAAGAGAAATATTTAGGAGCTGAATTTGAAAACCCGTCGTGTTGCACAGAGCATGAAGGGAGGGGGCTTTAATTTTCCTTTTTTTCTTCATTAATTGAGCATAAAAGGTCAGAAAATTCAGAATTGTGTTCATTCTGTACATGTATTAGTCCAAAAAAAATCACTGAAGAACAGGAGAAAGTGTGTTTGCATAAAGAATAGCAAACAATTAGCTGATTAATTGAATAAAAAACCCTTTTTAGATCTGCTGAAACACTTGTTCTGATTTAAATACTGAAAATGTCAAAACATCTTTAAATGTGTGTTTGAATATTCAATCAAGACCCGAATCTTCATCAACCAGGCGTCATAAAAACACCAACGTGTGTTTTGTAGGAGAACCAAACTGCATTTTGGAGCTCAGAGATGTGAAACTCTTCTCCTGATGAGCGTTAAAGGGTTCTGCATTCGGAGCAGAGCCCAGCGTTTTGTTAGTTTCTGTAGCTGCTGCTGCTTTTTCGAAGTTGGCCGAGGATGGAAGATCCAACCAAGAGACAGCGTGATGCCGCCGCGACTAAAATGGATGCAGCATTTGTTTTGCTTCGCTTCTGTTGCGTCAAATTTGGTGAAGTTGTTCCACTGAGAGTTTTTAGAGCGTCGACGTCACTGACTCGGTGCCGTCAGGCCGGTGTTTACTCTGTAATCCACAGTTTTGATCAGTAGGAAAATGTCGGAGAGCGTTTCTGTGTTTGATGTGTTCCTAAATTCTCTACAGTTTCTCTGATCTGCAGAGCTG